CCAAGGGCAGGTGATTTAAGTGAATGACGTGATAAAAAAATAAAAAGATATAAACGGTTGTACTATTTTACACTGATCTAACCAGTAATATTCATCGTGGCCATAACCCAAAAAGAAAATCAAAAGCGAACTTACACTCTTCCCCTAACCCACTTGATCAAAAAGGGTAACATATCAATGTTACAAAACAAAAGCCCCCCCCCCAACAAAAAGTAAATAATAATTGTTTTTAAGATGAACCAAATTTTTTTAAAAAGATGTACATTTAAATCACATTTGAGTTATAATACTAAAGAAAACCAAGTAATACATATTTCGTGTGTAACAGCAGGGCACAAAGCGCGAACAATAAAGGTAAATTATCCGCTACGCAAAACAAAAAAAAAACACAACTATAACATGACAAAATTTGTTGAACAAAAAACATAGTTGCGCACCACCCTTCACACACTTTCAGAAAAAAGGCCGATATATGAATCAACTGAAAGAAATATCTCCGAAAAACCTCTTTTTATGATGAACCAGCATTTTTCGATGCCCTTTTAAATCATATTTGATTTAATTTACTGTATAATACCAAAAATAAAAACCACATATATCATGTCTGAAAGAAGAACATAAGGCACGAACTATGACGGGACATGATGCACTCCCACGCACCACCACACCCCCGCATAAAAAAAAACAGAACTCTTAGCACCTTCCTTTAAATTTCTTCAACACCAACATTGTAGAGGCCTTTAACTCCTTGCAGCGTATGAGCCGCTGCCTCAGATGGGGAGTACTGACAACAATCTGGTCAATTGCTCGTTTAAGGACGTTAATAGTGATAGATAGACTAGAGCAAAATTCACCAGTGCCAACGAGGTTTCGGTGTTGAAAGTGACTCAGCCCCGGCCGGCAACTTCATCAAAGCAAGTGTAACCAGCTTCTCAGTGGGGCCAATGCATAGTTCAATGCAAACTGCTTACGACATTCTAGCATACCGGGGCATATTTGAGGCTCGATGTACATATTCATAATCACTCGTTTGAAAGTTTTTTCCGATGGGAAGAGCAGCTGTTAACCACATATACACCGTTCTGCTTCTCTTGTAAATAGCATGCAAAACTGTTTGCCTTGAGCGGTCCAAAAGCGAGAGTGTAGCGGCCTCCCCTGGTTTCTTATTTGACCCTCTGGAATACACTTAGCTGTATCACTTTCTACAATGTTATTGGCTGAGCGATAGCGAAGACCACGCCGTGTTTGGGCGTATCATAACGTGACTGGTCGTGCGTCTGTCTCTCTGTGTGATATCACTCAATTTTCTCAGAGTCTGCCGCACGAATAGTATCCAAATTTCGCACCTGATATATCCTGAATATTCTACAGGAGGATTATATCTTTAATTAACAACTAACATCGTTTGAAATATTCAAATCATCGTTTTGAACTTGGTTGTTAGCGTTCTTAGGTTGGTAGCAGCATGTGGCTGACCACTTTCTCATGCCTGCCGCCACGCTTGCAAGCCGTCATTTATGAAAAGAAATTTATTTATTTGGGATATATGTGTCTGTCACTCACCTTTCTGCGTTGGGTCTGGGATGTTCTGTAGGTTTGTCAAGTTCTGTAACTGAGGTAGCTTTGGGCATAGAGGCCTCATGACTGTCGCCCTCGTCCTAACTCCCAGTGTCTTAGTCGGCTTTTGGGGTGGCTTGGAATTTGGTTTGGGGAATGTTCTCTTCATTTCTTCACCTGAGGTAACCTATTAACATTATATATTAAAAAGAATCGTGAATTTTCCTATTTATATTAGCTTAAGGAAGACGTAGCGACCATACCTGATGTTCTGGCAACTCTGTTACAAAGTCCGAAGTGCACAAACTAATTCGCATCGCTCTAGTCTGGTGTACAGCATCAATTGTCTTTTTCGCAACATGTCTTGGAAACCCCGACTGTACCACAAGGTTGACAGTCAGCCCAGTCGTACGCGCGCAGCGGAGAGGCTCTTCGGAGCCGCACTCTGCCGACTAAGGGCCCCCTGTGTTGCCCATCAACCTCACTAAGTAACAGTGAGAGGCTCATGCTTGACAGAGCCGTTCGTTGAGCGTCCAACCTTAAACCTTAGCTAGCCTTATCTGCGTCGACCCTGTACCAGCTCATGCCCCTGCTGCACATGAATCGGCTACGCCCTCAAAGGGCATAGTTTAGTTTTTTTGTTTCACCAGTGCATCAAGTGTCACAGGAGTCCGCTCCCCCAAGGCGGTATCGCTTTTACCGCCTTGGCAACTCCGTGAGCAGCGCCGGTGGAGTTAGTGGGTTGGCCTTGGAAGAGAGGCTCCGCAGTGTGGGGGCCGGCCTTCGGCTCGGACACTGAGGATGGAGACATTTCGTCGCGGCCCCGCGCGGCAGTGTGTCTGCTCAGACCGTCGGGATGGGTGTGACGCTGCTGTTGCTCGGAGCCTGCGCCGCGGCGCTGCTGCTGTCCGTGCTGGTGCGCACGGCGCTCTCCTACGCGGAGTTCAGGAAGCTGGAGCTGGCCATCCCCGGGCCGCCCTCGCTGCCACTTCTGGGCAACGCGCTCACGTTCGCCGCCGTGAGCCGCGAGACGGTCTTCCAGACGTGCCTCGACATGGCCGGCGGGAGCTCTGCCGAATCTCGCTGTTCAACCACCTGGTCGTGGGGGCGTCCGACCCGGACGACATCGCGCAGATCATGAAGCGGAAAGAGTTCAGCAGCAAGGCGCAGTTCTTCTACGGCTTCATCCGCTTCTTCATCCCGAGGGGGCTGCTGCAGATGAACGGCCCTGACTGGAAGGTGCACCGCCTCGCGCTGGAGCCCGCCATCGCTAGGGACGCCGTCGAGCCCCACTTCCACGTGTTCTCCGAGGCGGCAGACAACTTCTCCGAGAACTTGCCCCGCCACGCATTCGACGTGCACAAGGCCCTGGCCCTGCCGCTGGTGCGGGTCTTCATGCGCGTCGCCATACTGCCCGACGAGCTGGGCCCGGCCGACGAGCAGCGCCTGCGCGACGCGGCGCACCTGCTGGACAATATGCTGGAGGCCGTCAACACGCGCAGCTTCCTGCCCTGGCTGTGGCCTGACTGCGTCTTCAGTAGGACCAGCATGGGCCGAAGCCTGCGCCGCCAGCTCAGCGACCTGCGCGAGTTCGTGGACGCCACCATCGTGCAGCGCCGCCTGCAGGCAGGGATCCTTAACATTTGACTGCACTCCACTGCAAGAAAAAGCCACAACAAAAGTACTCAAATTCCTGGCAAATCTTATATCAGGAATTAATGGTACTTTCAAAGTACATCAGTAGAAAGTACAATGGAACCGGCATGACGATTGCTGTGCAGTCCAGACCTCGTAGTCTGCACAGTTCTCATTGTACTTTACACAATCCCTGTTGTACTTTTATTGTACACACTGCAATTTGGATGGAAAGACTTCGCGCCAAAATAGGCTATGGCGAGACATTAAAGTCTCGCCAAAATTTGGTCAGACAAAGAAGTCTCGCCACAAAACGGTCAGACACAAAAGTCTCACCACAAAACGGCGAGACTTTTGTGTCTGACCACGGCCATTAGGCCGCAACCATCCGGTGCATTACGGCTTTCAGGTGGCGGTCAGAGACAAAAGTCTCGCCATTTTGTGGTGAGACTTTTGTGTCTGACCGTTTTGTGGCAAGACTTCTGTGTCTCACCAAATTTTGGCGAGATTTTTAGATCTGACCAAAACTTGGCGAGACTTTTGTGTCTTGCCTCTAGAGTGGCGAGAAGTCTGACCTTCGGATTTGTAGGGCGGTTTTTGTTGTACCATTCACACTTTTTCTTGTCCCAATCTTCTACTGAGCCTCTTCTTCGCAATAGGAACAAAAAGCTTAGTATTGTGACTGCGCAGCGTAGGTAGTAACCTATGGTGTAGAGTTCTCAACAACTTACGACCAATTTCTTCATATAACGAAAAAACTTCTCTGTATTAAGACAGATTTTTGTGTAGGGAAAGTGCTGAGAACTACCTTAATATTATGACTGCACGGCGTTGCTTATTAGGAAATGGGGAGTGTATCACTGCTTGCGCAACGTAACATAGGACAATATGTGGCATTCGTACATAACAGCGTATCTACAGGGGGGTTCCCTATCGAGGTACGATGTCCTGTCACACGCAAATACCTCCAAAGACAAATCTGAAGAGGTAGAAAAATCATTTATCATTTTAAGGGGGCAGTAGTACTTGTAAAACAACTGCTGGTTAAATGTCCATTACCACACTGGCAAAAAGCTACGAAAAATTCTATAAACAGCTTGTGGTAGTTCTCCGTGGCCCTCTTGTCAATATTTTCCGTAGGACCTTACAATATTCTCCGAAGGTCCTTGCAGGGATCTCCGTAGGACTATACAGTTTTCCAGGTCCTGCGGAGAAGACTACGATCCTACGGTGAATTCTGCGCGGTCCTACGGAGGATACTGTAAGAGCCTACGAAGAATATTGATACACGGGCTACGAAGAATCTTATGGCAAAACAATTAACAAAATTTTCCGTACCTTTTTCCCACAGTGCATTAGTTTTTCTTGTCCGGTACCAAATATCTAGCAGTATTTTTAGTCTGATATTAATCCTCGTAGTTCATTTTGCGGGCAATTTTAAGCTTTTTCAGATGCTCTCTACCGATTGCAAAATAGTTGAAAACTTTGGCTGAAGTCACTGCAGTGACACCATGTTTAATTTCGCAGATCTTTTTCACGTGCTTCATATCCTCCCTCTAATCCTAGAACAATTTTTGTTTGATATTGTACCGTCAACGGGGGTAACTTGGGACCCTTTTTTACGTTTTTTGAACGCCAGAGGCAAGATTCTCAACCCAGACCATTGGATCCTAACTATGTTAAAGTTTGACCCTTTCCCCATCATTTCATACTTGTCTGGTTCATTTGCCTCGATTACATCGTTTCCAAGCGGTCTCGAAAGAGTGTCCCAAGTTACCCCATGACCGGGGGTAACTTGGAACAGTAGGTAATTAGCTACATTCCCATGCATCTATTGATGTTAATGGATGTAATAAATTTAAGTCACAACATGTAGACCAAGAATTCAGGCCTAGGAACTCTTGTAGGACCGATATTGGACTATATCTAGGGCTCTACGTGGAACTCTCTTTTCTACAGGTATTTTCTTGGCATTTTCTGAAAATTTCAAAAATATGGATTACCAGAAGACAAATCTGCAGAGCAAGGCATCCCTTTCCATCATCAGCGTAAAATCCGAAGTTTATGTTATGTCTGGGACCGGGTCAGTCAACTCCTTGGAGGCTAGGACTGCTGGAAACATGAGGAAAAGACTGTCCCAAGTTACCCCGTAAAATTTCGATTTTTGATAAAATGCAGTCTGGACCGAAGATGGGAAAACTATAATCAACGCCCTTTCGCGAACGTTATTGTCTGTGTATGATTCAACAGCCCAGAGAGACTAATCGGCCAAATCTGCATTTCACTCCTCGCACTAGGGTCAACTTGTTAATGTTAGACATATTTTGTCAAAAACCCTATTAGGTAGTTTTCCGTTTCTCAAATACTAATTGTGATGTTATGCGCCTTTTCTACCTTTCCGCGCGTGCCCTGAGGCCTCTGAAACAAAACCCTGCCGCGGGTTTGACGCTAGGAACCACCGTCGCTGAATGGCAGCACCAACAAGCTGTACAGGGCAGACTGTCCCAAGTTACCCCCGGTGTCCCAAGTTACCCCCGGTGTCCCAAGTTACCCCCGTTGACGGTAGTAGAAAGGTTACTGCCGTTTTTCTCTAGCAGCCATGCCAATCAAGAACCTATAAAGCCCCAATCCGACTGACTCACTCACTGACTCACTGACTCACTGACTCACTCATAGAAATGTTTGGGGTGAAGGAGTGGTCTTAGAGACTTGCGGTTTTTTCCATTCGATTCCAAATTTTATGGGAAAATTGGGAAAATCCCAAAAGTTGAAATTCCTAACCGTTTCCGAGCAAACCTACTTAATCTTCAAAAAAGCGGACCAAATTCCTCACAGTTTCCGAGCAAACCCACTCAATCATCGAAAAAGGGGACCGACCGACTAAAAATTTTTATTCGCCCCATCGGTAGGTCTGGTCGAGACATTTCCGAAACTGTGCCGCAATCGGGTCCCCGTCACCGGCAACATCCTAAAAACGCTATATAAAATATAAAATAGGCCTTAATTCAACAAAATCCACTCAATCTTCAAAAAAGGGACCGACCGACTGAAAATTTTTATTCGCCCCATCGGTAGGTCTGGTCGAGACATTTCCGAAACTGTGCCGCAATCGGGTCCCCGTCACCGGCAACATCCTAAAAAACGATATTAAAAAAAATATAAAATAGGCCTAAATTCAACAAAATCCACTCAATCTTCAAAAAAGGGGACCGACCGACTGAAAATTTTTATTCGCCCTATCGGTAGGTCTGGTCGAGACATTTCCGAAACTGTGCCGCAATCGGGTCCCCGTCACCGGCAACACCCTCAAAACGATTAAATAGGCCTAAATTCAACGAAATCCACTCAATCTTCAAAAAAGGGGACCGACCGACTGAAAATTTTTATTCGCCCTATCGGTAGGTCTGGTCGAGACATTTCCGAAACTGTGCCGCAATCGGGTCCCCGTCACCGGCAACACCCTCAAAACGATTAAATTGGCCTAAATTCAACAAAATCCACTCAATCTTCAAAAAAGGGGACCGACCGACTGAAAATTTTTATTCGCCCTATCGATAGGGTAAACTATACAGTTATCGGCAGGGGTACAGTTATCGTCATCTCGGCGAATGATTGGGTCCTGCTCTGCAAGTACGCGTCCGTTAGTGATGCGGCCAATGCAGGTCGCTAGAGACACCTTTTGAGCATGCAGGACCGAGACAGCATCGCGTTTGATTGAGCATGTCAGCCAACAGAGCCACGTTTCTAGTCAAGTGCAGAATGAGGCCGCTTCGGCCGTCCGTTCTTATCTTCTATGATAAGAACAGGGGTTCAATCTTTCGTTAAATTCGTGAATGTGGGCCGGCAGAAACTATTCTCTTTGCCAGGTTCCTTCTCCTCATCTATTGAAGAGGGCATACTGTGCTTGGTGCACAGAAATTCCTCTTGCTTGCCCTCATTCGGGGGGTGCCGATAACTGCACCAGAGAAATCACCGCAAACACAGTTATCGTCAGGGTGGCCTCAAACTTCACTGGTGTTTCCGGCGTCGTCCGGGAGTTAATATTCTGGTGCATTATGACCGTAGGAAGACCCTTGCCAAATTTGAATGAAATCGGACCACATTTTCCCAGTGATCTACGTGATTTAGGAAATGTTCTCCTCGGCGCTTTGAAAGGTTGTCTTTTTCGCAGCTCATGGTGCTAGTTGTCCGTTAGTCTAAAATGAAGGGCGCAAGAGGCATAACAGAAGGAAGAGGGGGTTCGTGACATGCTGAGGGGTGATATAGAGTGTCTGTGACGACTGTTAGAAATTTTCGTCACTTTCGGTCATGTTTTGCCTTTTTAACAAGGGGTGCCGATAACTGTCTTAAAGGGTGCCGATAACTGTATTTTGGCTGCCGGTAACTGTGTTTTTGGTAACCTTTTTCTCACGTTAAATAAGAGCGTCACAAAAAGTTTTTGGTGAAATCTTTGTCAGCCACTTCGTTGTCTAGATCCTTCTGAGGTGTCTGAAACAAGTCGCACGGGTCTAAGTGTCATAACCTACCCTAGAGGCCCTTGAAAAGAAAGCGATGCTCTTAAACTGACGGTAACTGTATAGTTTACCCTAGGTCAAGTCGAGACATTTCTGAAACTATGCCGCAATCGGGTCCCCGTCACCGGCATGCCGGACGTTGCAACGTCCTCAAAATCATCAATCAAGAACCTACATAGCCCCTAAATCCGACTGAGTCCCTCACTCACTTTTTTTGGGGTCAAGGAATAGTCGTAGAGACTTAAGGTTCTTTCCATTCGATTCCAAATTTTATGGGAAAATGGGATAAAATCCCAACAGTTGAAAATTCCTCACCGTTTCCGAGCAAACCTACTCAATCTTCTAAAAAGGGGACCGACTGACTAAAAATTTTTATTCGCCCCATCGGTAGGTCTGGTCGAGAATTTCCGAAACTGTGCCGCAGTCGGGTCGCCGCCACCGGCAATGGGGTAAATAATCATCAATCATCAAGAGCCTATATAGCCCCAATCCGACTGACTGACTCACTGACGCACTCACTCACTCACTCATAGAAATGTTTAGGGTCAAGGGGTGGTCGTAGAGACTTCCATTCACCTCTATCCTTGTCAAAGTAGTCTTCAATATTTTCCGGACCTTGTATGCACCCATTGACTGCCACAGTAGCCAAAGCAATACAAGCTATCTATTTGGGCAGTAAAAGTATAGCTTAATTATATGGTCAAAAGTTGTTAAATAGACCTTTCAAAGAAGCAGTACATTTACTTCCTTAGAAAAGCCTTTGGTCACCACGGACTTACTGAAAATACTTCGGCACGCGCCCCACACATGCGGGGGTCTGGGGGCGGAGCCCCCAGCGAGCAGCGCGAGTCCTTTTTATAAAGGTCCGAACAGAAAGTTCTATAGTGTAAAAAAAACGTGCACGAAGTGCTTGCCTTCTTGTACAGAAGTCATAAGTTTCGAGTCGTAACTTCACGCTTTTGACGACGGTATGATGCCACCCTTCCGAGGTAAGTTGAGGATTCCTGCTTGCAGGCCGTCAGTGACGCCAAGGAAGCCACCAGCGGCCGCGGCGTCGCCCGCAAGCAGATCATGCTGGACAAGATGCTGCAGAGCCAAGTCTTCACCGACCAGGACATCATGGACGAGTTCATGACGTTCCTGAGCGCTTCCACCGATACGACCGCCACCTCGCTCAGCCTCGTCTTCAAGATGATGTCCATCTCGCCGGAGATCCAGGGCCGCGTGCGCGCCGAAGTGGACCGCGTCCTGGGCGTTGGCGCCGAAGCGCGCAGCGTCGAGCTGCACGACCTGCCGAGGTGAGCGTGGGAAAGGAAAGTAACCGCAGTTGCAACATTCATTACGGGAGGACATTCCTGTCGAGGCTCATCTTGGGTCTTTGCGAGCAGCGCATTCAGGCGCGGATCTAGACGGGGGGAGGGGGATGGGGGCTATTCAGGGGCCGCCATCTCAAGGACCTAAAATAGTTTCTTCTTGAGCTTCCCTTTCTCTGTCTATGACATATGATGGCACCCGACGCGAACGCAAAGTTTGCAACCAATTTAAAAATGAGGGAAAAGGGAACGGGGAAGCTCAGTTTTCAGAAAAGGGAAACGGGGAAATAGGAGCTCGAAGGAGATTGTCCCTTCCGCGGTCCCTTCTTTGCCCATTTCAGACTAAAGAATGCTTCGGCGAAGCCCTCTTTAACATACTGAGAAAAGACGCGCATCCTTACCTCTCATCAGGACCCAAGTAATGCTCCATAAACGTGATTATAGAGTTTTTCTCCATAAAATTACGGAGCTAATTTCTAACAGTGTAGTCAATGACAGCGAATATCGTGAACTTGACCCCCAGGCTGCAGTACATGGAGCAGGTCATCAAGGAGACCCAGCGCATCGTGCCCAGCGCCCCTTTCCTGGCTAGGCAAGTGTACCAGCGCACGGAGCTCGCGGGCAAGACGATCCCTGCCAACTCGACGCTCCTCGTCAACGTGCACGGCGCGCACCATGACCCCAAGCACTGGCCGGACCCGTGGAAGTATGACCCTGAACGCTTCGCGCCCGGCAAGGAGCACCACCCCTATGCCTTCTTGCCCTTCAGCGCCGGGCCGAGGCGCTGCCCGGCGGGCTTCTACGCCATGATGGCCATGAAGACCATGTTCGCCGCCGTGATACGCGACCACGTCATCGAACCCGTGGACGACGGCGTCAGGGAGGCCAAGGACTTCAAGCTCACCTTCAACCTCACTGCCAGGATTGTCGGCGGCACGTTCGTCAGATTCAGGCCGCGTTCGACTTCGGTCAGCTAGTGTCAAGTCAACATAAACGGAGGTTTTCCGTAAATTTACCGCATATCCTTGCAGATGTTTCAAGATGCTTCGTAAATTTTCAAAGTTTTCCTAAAACGTTTTGAGGTTCTTCAGGCTTCGTGAATTAACATAGGAAGGAACGGCTTTCAATTTTTTTTTGCTGCAGGATTGGTTAATTCCGAACGTAAATTCACTGAGAATGAACGGTATACTTAAAGGCGAGGTATACTTTGTCATCGAAATATGGGCGAGGAAGGGTGGATCAGCTACGTGTATGCACTGGTAAAACAAAGGCATAAAAATTACGCCCTTTAGGGCATAAATCGTTTTATGCCCTTCGGAATGGTATGGGAATTTCAAGCAAAATTTTCATGCCCTTCCCAAAGGCATAAACGATTTATGCCCTTTAAGCCCTTTAAGGGCATAAATTTATGCCTTTGTTTCACCAGTGTGCTACTACATAGTACGATCACCCAAATTTGGGTGAGGAAACCGTCCTTACCCAAATTTGGGCAAGGAAACGAGGAATAAAGAATTCCTTACCCAAAAGTTAAGTCCTGATCATGACACTTTCATTCTCAGTGAACCTTTATAGTTTGGCAAAACGAAGGCATTAAAAAACTACGCCCGTGAGGGCATATTAGTTTTTTTGGGCGCCGGCTGAAAAAAAAACGTGTTTCTGTAAGGGCGTTTCAGTTTTGACTAGAGTCTCATAAGTAAACTGGGTATTTACGAAGGCGCCTCAGGCAATAAAAGTTGCGAACGGTCCCTATGTAAATTTACAAAGGTATTTGGTACGAAACGAAGAATCTTCGAATATTTAGTGAAGGTCAAGGATTTACTATGTATTAGAACCTTCGTAAATTACCGAGAATCTATGTGAAAGACTACGATACTACGTAAATGTACGAATGTGGCTTCAGTATTATTTTTGCAGGAGGAACCCTCGTGAATTGGGAAGGTTTATTCTTACATTGTACTTATTTACGCCCCGTCTAAGTGCATAAAACGATTAAAAGATCACTCCAAATGCAAGTTGTTTTTAGCGGTTCTTTTATTGTTTTCGGTCTCGCCCCCTCCTCCCTCGAATTCGAAATACAGAACGCGAAACTACTTCAACTATAAAAAAGTTTCCGTAAAGTATAAAAACATAAATTTGCAATAATCGAAAACGTGATCCGTTAATGCTATCAAAAAGTAGTTTGAATAAAAAAAGTGCCACTCCTCAAAACTAAATTGTCCATGGCAACGGCACGCCCGACATTGAGACATCTTTGAAGTCTGTCATTAGTAAAAAGTTCATGGCAGAAAAGGAGCAGTAAATTTACTTTCATGGGTTGGCAGTATTTTTCCCGGCGTCTGCGCCCTTTCTAACATCACGAGACTGAAAAAAAGGGTAAGGGAAGGTGGGGTGCCATGTGACACGGCCACCATGTGACTTTGGCTTTTTCTCCCAAACGGCTTGTGTTATCCAACAGCGGTAAGAAGACTTAAAGGAAGATATCATGAAGGAGAATCGACGTGCAATAGGTCGTGACTTTTCTTCGGAAAGGACGGGAATGGTAGCGATCAGAATCGGAAACCGTCTTAAAATAGCTCATTGGAAACTTTTTCTCTTTCCCGCCGCGTCCGCTTTTTACCTTTAAAATACATTCTAAGGACACATGCCTTGCAAGATGTTCTTCTTTGATGTTTTAAGAGCAAAATAAGCTTTGGCTCGATTCTCTACGGCATTAACTTTGACCGTTATTGCTGTTTCCCCTAAAACTGCTGATCTGGGCACTATGCGACACTACTGTCATTCGCTAGGCCTATGCGATTCCACGATTCACTCAAATGAATGTGTTCACTCAATGAGATTTGTACACTAACAACCAAAACTTTCATTGCTCGGGAACGAAAGATGATAAATTGTTAAACTCAACGAAAATAAAAAGCTGGAAGACTTCTTCAGTCATTCTTTGCGTGTAGGTACGCTGAATAGGATTTAAACCCTGACAAAGGGCCACTGTCACATGGTGCACTAAGGCTGTCACATGGTGTACTGCGTGGGGTACGAAGTGACACTTTGACTTAGGCCCATTCAACTCGGGATAACTCAGCAACCAAAACAGATAAATTAGAAATCTCATCAGAAATTGATCCAGGAAGCGGAAGAAGGGGACAAGTCCATTTTGGCCATTTATCAGGAGAAAGAAAAAACTGTAAGCCGAGAAAACTAAAACAAACCAAACGAATTTTGTAGATGATAACAAGTTCAAAAAGCAAAAGTTAAATTTTGAGAAAAACATCAAAAGTGTCAGATCACTCCGTAGAGGGTTTCTGGGACTTATAACTTTCCGTTGAAATGGAAAACAGAGACATATCAACTTGTATTTCCTTAACAGAGCGGAATTTGGAGACCAAGTCAAGTGGAACTTTAGTTAGCATAAAGTGCTTGTTACTCTGGTGTATTTTTTGGACTGAGCTCTTTTTTCCATTCCAGTTATTAAAATGAAGGGAGCTTAAGTTGACTTGATTCTCTTTACACTAGATTCATTAAAATACAAGTTGAGTTATCTCCTATTGGAAATATTTTAAACGGAGTCATGTGGACTTCGGTTGAGTTGTTTCCATTTTCCGCTAAATTTAGACACTGTGAGAAAAAAGTACGGAAAAAGTACGGAACATGTCTGGTCAATAATTTGCCTGGACCGTCCGTACTTTGCCAACTACGGAACGTTCCGTACCTTTTTTCCGTACCCATTTACATGGGTTCATATGGAGCAAGTACGGAACGTTCCGTACTTTTCTCCGTACCTCCGTACTATATTTTTCTGTACCATTTCCGTACAAAAGTACGGAATTTGTTACAGTGGAGCGTAAAACCGGTTGAGTTATATCCTTTTTCAATGTGGATTTTCTCCTTAACGGCTGAATTAAGTCAAATAATTGGGTGTAATGATGTAAACCATTCTCAGGCACAATAATAATAAGATAAAACCTCGAGTTTTGGAGATAAGTCAAGTTATTCCCTTCTTCCGCTTCCTGGATAAGGTGAAGAATCATTTTGTTCACATAACTACTTACGGATGTAATGTGATTGGTATTGTTGGGTTGACGGGCACTTGAACACAAACCATCACATGGTGCCCCACCTTCCCTTAGTCGCGCATTAAAACTGTCCCTACATTGTTGCTGAGGTTGGAATAATCGTTTTGCTTTTAAAGGGACAACTCGGGAGGGGTGGTTTCAAAACGCGGGTGACTTTCATTTGACGAACATGAGCACTGAAAGTCGCGAGATGGAGTGTGGTGGTCGGTGGTCATGGTGGTAGGGTCAGTTGGGGTAATAATGGGACACTGAAAACTTGGGGGAAAATGGGACACTTTCTAAACTTGACGAGTTTTGGCATGTCAAAACGTCCTACAATGACATGTTTGTGCTTAAAATGTTCATTGAGGTGTCTAGTATTCCATTTTTCATTCGGCGGGACAATGACTGCTCATAGAAATGAGAATTAAGAAAACAAGCAAAACATGGCAATTATGGGTTTTCTGAAGGTTGGAAAAATTTGCCGCAGAGGTCATCTAATTAGAACACTACAGAACCCCCCATAAACAGAAAAGTAAAGTATTGTATAGTGTTTTGGAAAGCTAAAAGAACGAGGATTTCGATCCACCAACTCATTTTGACATCAATGCATTCGTTAACTTGCAATTGTAGAATTTTTCTGTGGGGTAAAAATGGGACACCACTTTGGGGAAGAATGGGACACTTCTGGGGTAAAAATGGGACACTTGGTTAATGGTAAATTGTGGCCTTTGGGGAGAAAATTTTCAAAGTTGTTCGAATGGACATCTCTGAACGGAAATAGATAGGCCTCGACAATACAAACAAAATATGTCAACACATGCTATGGGTTTGGACGGATATTTAAAAAGTTAATGGGCTTTGAAATTAACAAATAGTCGCAAAAGGTCAAATTACACCCAAGTTCTTTTGAAGCGCTATGCCTCTTCATTTTTCATCCGAACCGGTGGCATGTGATGACATTTATTGTTCCTCGTGTTGAGACGGATCGAATTTTATAAAGTGGTGTCTATTTGGAAAACTTTGAGGCCTGTTTTACCACTGCTAAGCCCTTGTCCCATTTTTACCCCAGCGTGTCCCATTTTTACCCCAAACTTACAAGTCCGAATTTTCACAGTTTATTTTGCACAACTGCAAAATTAAATGAATTTTTGATCTTATTTTAACGCCAAATGGTGTGGAACAGAGTACCCTATCCTTTAAAAGCACTAGAAACACTCCAACTCGCCATTGTAGAGTTGTGGAAACCTTATTGTTCAAACTGTCCCATTATTACCCCAACTGACCCTCACGGCAAAAGTACCGCCTGGGATTCCCAGGCGCATCATGGGAAAAAAGGCCTATTTTCCAGGCACCGCCTGGGAATCCCAGGCGGTACTTTTGCCGTGCTAACTGAATCAGGTTTGACCGGAAGTCTTTTCTATTAGTTAGCCTTAATGTAGCGCATGCGCAGTTCGAAATTTTTGAATTGTCTCATAATTATTTAATAGTTGGTGATGGCACAGTCCAATGAATAAAATCTTGTGAATTCTATTTTAAATCATCAAAATGGGAACACCGTGCAATGCGATTAGCAGTGGGATTTTTTTCTCTTTTAACTAAAACGACCTGAAAATTGGACGGCATTGGCATAAAATTTTCATGCTGTGCACATCAACAACCGAGCCGGTCTTCGCGACTCGTCGAGTCGTGCGAAATCTCCTCGTAGTGGCTCAAAATCTGCACCCGGAGGCCCTGCGTCAAACTAGAAGTTTGAATTCCGAGAAAAACGAGGGCAAAGTTTGAGAAATGGCGAAATACCTTTCGCAGGTGTTCGGCTTGCAGGCTCCTTACACTGTGCGAAAAAAAAAACACAGTAAATCCTGTAACGATTAGTACAGCTGACGCTGTAATTCAGAGTACGGGATTTGCTGTAATTTTTTACAGGATCCACTGTACTTTGTACAGTACTGTGCCGAAGAAGTGGAGTACGGAATATTCTGTACAAACTACAGTAAATCCTGTATTCTGAACTTCAGTAAATCCTGGCAAACAAATCAACGAGATTCACTGTGGGTTTTTTCGCACAGTGTAAGGCCCCACTAACGGATTTGTTGGTTCTGAACTACCACACCGGTAAAACTGAAGCGTAGTTCTAGGCTTGATTCAAGCATACAACTACGCTTGAAGACTTTACGCTTGACGTCAAGCGTAGAGAAGAAATTCTCCCATGCGTTCTACCAGTTCTACCAGTGCAACATCGTAAATTAGTGGCGTAATTGTAAATTGACGATCGGTCGTAAATTTACGATCAGTCGTTTATTGCCAGCTTTGTCTTAAATAAACAACTTCGGTTGTTAAGTATCACTATCAGTATTTGCCATTATTGAACGGCTTTTGTCGTGTGCTCACGTCACGACCACTGTCGTAAATTTGTGGCTGACCGTAACTTCCCGATTTTTAAGTCGCTATCGAAAATCATTAACTACATAATCGTAACTTTTTCCGTAACTGAGCATCTTTTCTAAACGATTGTGTAATTGTTCTGAACTATGTCGTGAATCTACGATAATTTTTTAACAGTGTAGGTAGAATTCCGAGGACCTCCATCCCAAATCAAACCGTCGGTGGATTCACGTGGAAAGTCCCAAAAGAGCTGTGCAACCGGTCCGACTACAATGATACAAGACTGGCGCAATCACGGTAGCGAGATTCGTGCCATGGCAACAATTTAAGGGGCACTAATTTCAAATGCAGACGGCAGCGCGCCGACGGGCCACAGTCGGCCACCGTGTGGTGACGTAGACGCAGACATATGCCGGGCCGGTCGATCGACAAGGTCTCGGGTTGCCCTAGTTGCTCCAGCAGAGCTGCACGAAGGATGGGGGAAGAGCAGTGCATACGTGGTGGCAAAGCAGTACGGAAAAGAATGTTAATTTTTTGTTGCCAAGCTTCTACACC